AATCTGCTGCCAAAGGCACTGCTCATACAAGGGAGGGGAATCATGGCATCTACTGTAACACACCAGGAGCTGATAGGCTTCCTGGCCTTCTCTGGCTGTAGTCTCGGCTACAAGCCACACACCACATCCACCCCCAGGATGCACTCACTCTGGGATTGAGGATTCTATTCTGCTGGGGGTAATCGCCAAACCTCAGGGTTTCTGTCAGCAGTCGCTCTGACATTCAGCCTTCATAGCCACCAATGCGACTCACAGACCCCTGCACTCAGGCCAACCCATTGCACAAGCACATGGGTTCGGGATCCAAACTCTACATTCGGCTTAGGCTCCACCCCAAGCCACGTTCCCCACCCATCCCCCAAGGACGGGTTCCTCAGCTCCTCAACCTCACTAGACAATGAGCAGGGCATCACCCACAGATGATTTTACGAAATTCACTGGCCTTCCTCAGCTTACTTAGTGTGCTTAACAGCCACTCAAGGCTTCCCAACATCAGTACTCAACATCAGTACCAGCTTTTGCCTTCTCAGTTGGCTTTTCTCCTCTGCCTAGCTGCTGGGCATACACAGGCTGCTTTTGGCCATCAAGGCCCACTGGCCACCCCCAGATTATCAAAAAACAAGTTGCCAAGGTCCTCCGCCTTCTGGCAGGATTGTCAGTGAAAGTCCATTAGTCCAAGTCCATTAGGCCTCTCCCTGCCATCAGCACCAGCGAGCTCTGAATCATGGTCCTCTCTTCCCTAACAATTCTGCTGCCTCAGGGGTCGTTGGCTGGTCCTCTCGGGCATCTCCTTCATGTGAGGTCTCGTTCTGTAGCTCCTTGACCTCGTCCATCTCCTGTGTCACCATGATGCCTCCAGCATTGTCACAGGCAGTCTGTTACTCCTTAGTCCCTCCAGGTCTTTGGAGGGCTCCATACCCATCTGCACAGATCATCCTGCCGACTACGCCAATTGTAGAGTCATGAATGACACAGTGCAGGTTTCATGATCCAGCAGGCTGGGTAAAGGAGGAGTCAGGGTCCTCAGTGGTCCAGGTGCCCACCATCAGGCATGCATTCAGGACCGCAAGGATCCATCATCTATCCTGATGGCGGGAGGGCAGAAAAAAGCCTGACATTTTTCCTTACCCTACAAGGGCCAATGGGAAATGGCTCAATATTGGAGGCCAAAACCATGAAGTGTGTGTTTGGGATTGAGTCTGGGGCAGGAGGGTCTTAGAAATTGTTCTCCAGGAGTTGTGTTTAGTATTTGTTTGGAGGAGGTTGCCACATGGTGCCCAGGGGTTAGACAGCAGATTTGCTCAATTTGTTTGCTTTTTTCAAGTTACCTGGAATATAAGAGTGTCCACAACAGCAGACTACCAAGCAGGTAGGGATGACACTCCTATCATGAAACTAGCAAACTGAAAATACTCAAGTTTTCCTGCAAATCTTGAGTATTTTCAAGTTATTTTTGTCCCAAAATGCTGCTTCACATAAATTTTATATTATATCATTGTAGTTACCCTACAATGAAAAAGCATCAGGCTTTTCTGCCCTCCTGCCATTAGGATAGATGATGGAACCCTGTGGTCCTGAATGCATGCCTGATGGCGGGCACCTGGAATAGGGTGTGGGCATATGTAGATGGGATTCACCTGGGCTAAGACTAGGCTTATAAGGGCGGTGTCATGGGGACACCAGCAAAGAAGCAGACAGAAAGAAAGCAGAAGAATGAATGGAAGAGCAGAGAAGCAGAGAGACCACCTGAGAACGCCAGAGAGCCCAGAAAGAGTGAAGACTTGCTGGGGGCTGGGAGGCCTGCCAGCCTCCGGCCCCCCACCCCACCCCCACCCCTGGCACCCCTGCCTGCTGTGTACCCGGTAAAATCCCAATAAAAGCTTGCAAAAGCTATTGAGGGCTCCAGGACTCTCTCTTCCTGTACCCCGTCTGCTCGGATGGTAGTGATCCTGCTCCGTGTCCTCCTGCCCCTTACAATCATTAATTCTTCATACTTTGTATTAGTCGGCTGGGACTGTATAGAGTAAGGAAAAATGTTAGGCTTTTCTGCCCTCCCGCCATCAGGATAGATGATGGATCCTGCGGTCCTGAATGCATGCCTGATGGCGGACACCTGGAGTAGGGTGTGGGCATAGGTAGATGGGATTCACCTGGGCTAAGGCTGTGCTTTTTAAGGGCGTCATGGGGATGCCAGCAGAAGCTGAAAGAGAAGCCGAGAAAGAAGCAGAGATAAGCAGAAGCTGAGAGAGAGTGCGGATTTGCTTTGATATGGGAGGACTGCCAGCCTCCTGGCCCCCCAGCACCCCTGCCTGCCATATGCCTGGTGAACCCCAATGAAAAACCTGTAAAAACTGCTGAGGACTCTGACTCCTCCTTCACCTGGTCTGCTGGATCCTAGAAAACCTGCTCAGTGTCATGTCTTGCCCTTCCAGACTGCCATAGCAAAAAAAAAAAAAAAAAAAAAAAAACTGGGTAGCTTAAAGAAAGAAATTAATTTTTTACAGTCGTGGAGGCTAGAAATCCCAAATCAAGTTCCAGCAGGATCAGTTTCTGGTGAAACCTTTCTTTCTGTTTTGCAAACAGACACCCTCTCACTATTTCCTCACATGGTGGAGAAACAGCCTCTTGTTATAAAGATACTAATTCTACTGGATCAGGGCCCCACCATTATGTCCTCATTTTGACTTTACTTCCATAAAGACCCTATCTCCAAATACAGTGTTGTGCATCAGTATAAGAATTTGGCGGATAATATAATCATTCAATCCATAACACATGTACTCTCTCAGAAGACACAGGCTCAGTGACGTTAAGTAATTTGCCTAAAGTCACATCACCTAAGTTATTAGAGATGAAATTAGGTCTCAGGACTGACCCATGATAGAGCCCTAATAATTAAAAGTTTAAAAAAAGTTACTGCTATTACTTTCATACAAAGTCTAAATAGGTACTTAATAAATAGTTACAAGTGTTACTTTTCTTAGAGTGATTGTCATCCCCATTTAAAGTGCAGAAGAAAGGGCTCAAGGACTGGGCTGCTTGGTTCCAGGAGGCAGTGGAAATGGAGTCCAGTTTGCAGCTGTGATTATTGCTGAGACAAGAGACCAAATGGGGATTGGAGAGGAAGCTGTGGCTGGGTCTTGGAATTGGGATAACGTGGATATTAATTGCCTAACAAGGGAAGAGTTAGGTGTTGATGCTCAGGTCTGGGACATATTTTCATTAGCAATTGAGGCCAGAGCCCAAGAAAATGCAGATGTTAGCAACAACATTGATTTTAGCAGAGTTAGCACCAAGATGAACTTCAGTTATGGTACTAATAATTAGCTTCAGTGCTGTCTGCAACTCTAGTGGTGGTGATGTTGTTTTTGGAGTCTGTGGGTTTGGAGTGCGGGGTTGTAGGGTAAAGAAAATGTCAGGCTTTTCTGCCCTTCTACCATCAGGATAGATGATGGATTCTTATCCTGAATGCATGCCTGATGGCGGGCACCTGGAATAGGGTGTGGGCATAGGTAGATGGGATTCAACTGAGCTAAGACTGTGCTTTTTAAGGGCGGCGTCACGGGGGGACGCCAGCAGCAGAAGCAGCAGCAGCAGCAGAAGAAGCCGAAGCCGAGAAGCAGCAGAACGAACGCCAGAGAGTCCAGATAGAGTGAAGACTTGCTGAGGGCTGGGAGGCCTGCCAGCCTCCCAGCCCCCCAGCCAGCACCCCTGCCTGCCATATGCCTGGTGAACCCCAATAAAAGACCTGCAAAAAAACTACTGAGGACTCTGACTCCTCCTTTACCCGGTCTGCATGGGATCGGAAAACCTGCACTGTGTCCAGTCCAGCCTTTACAGGGGTCCTTGGGTTCACTCTGGGAAAGGTTTCACCAGAGCTCCCTTTTCAGCGGCATGTGGTGTGTTTCCCAGTGAGTTTCTCCAGGAGGCAGAGATGTTAGTTATATTTAAAGAGCAGGTTTATTAGGAAAAGGGACAGAAGAGTAACAGACACTTGCATAGATACAAGCAGGCAGAAAGAGCTGCCCGGAAAGGGACAGGTTTGTGGAGAGAGGCCTGCATGGTTGCAGGTAAATGGCCTTGAGGAGAGTTGCCTCCACTGAGGGAGGTCAGTGAAGAGAAGTCCTGGCATGGTGCAGGTCACGGGCAGGCAGGAAGCTGCTGCCCTGCAGAGGGAGAGAGTTGGTGAAGGGAAGCACCTGCATAGTCACAGATGGGCAGACAGATTTGCTGTGGGGCAGCTTTAGGTTTTATCATTTTTAGGGAGGGGCTCATCTTTGTGGGTGGATGGTTTGTGCTCCTTACACTCCTAGAAATCTGATAGTTTCTGGGTGTTGCACCTCCTGACCTGGGCGTTGATGCCTAAGGGTCTTGGCTTCTATAACTGGGTTAATGGCTTACACTAATCCCCTCTACCCCTACCTCCTTCTGTGAGTTAGGTTCTTGACCTTGTATCTCCTTTCCAGTTTTTCTATTTTTAATCTTCCATCAGTGGCAGTGAAGTGGAAAATGTCCAAAGTTATGTTGAAATTAATAGTGAAGGGGAAAACAATGAAACAACTGATGCAGTAAAAGGGGCCCATTAGAGGAACATTGCCACCTGGCACAATTAGCAAGTTTACTTTCTCATCATTTGCAAGTTCCCCTCTTGGTGACAAGGATGCATTCCAAGAGGAGGGGGGACAGAAGAGCAAGCAGACTCTTATCTTCTGCTGGCCCTTTCCCCTCTCCCCTTTAGTGAAACTCCCCCTTTTCTCATCTTCCATCTGACCTTCAAATTGTAACCCATGTTAGACTGAGTATAAAAGAAAACTTTGGTATTCATTCAGGGTCCAGATCTTTCAAGGAGAGAAACCTCTGTTATCTGTAGCCCACTAGTGTAGTAACAATAAACCTGCACCTACGTGTACTTAGTGTCGTTTGGTCCTTTCCAGCCTAACAAAATAGTTTTTCCACAGCAGCAGAGCTGACATTAGTTTTGGTGACACACCCATAATCAGTGCCAGATTCACCACTGCAGCCAGCATTTACTTTGGTGGCACATCCAACACTTGCTCTAGTTTCAGTGGTCTCCTCCAGGTCTCCTGGCTCCATCCTGCTCCTTCCTTCCTCAGTCTCTTCTGCTGCTTCTCCTCTCCCTGCTCAGCTCCACCCTCCCTTGAGTGGGGCAGGGAACCTGGAACTTCCCCTTTTCCTGGGGACCACCCTGTTACAGTGGGACTAGCCTTAACTTTGGTAGTGTGCCCAGTGGTGCAGTCAGCATTAGTTCTAGTTTCAGTAGGGAAGCCAACATTAACTTTGGTGGCACACTTAGTACCAGTGCCAATTTTGGTGGTAGGGTCAGCTCTAGTTTCAGTAGCCCACTCAACACCATTACCAATGGCGCTATTCTGGCTTTAGAGACACTGCACTACAACTGGCTTCAGCAGCACTAGCTTTGGTCAGGCACACAGCACTAGTGTGTTTTAGTGGTACACTGAGCACCAGTACTGGCTTGGTGACACACTCAACACTTGTGTCTGCTATGGTGGCTCTCCCTACTCCAGTGCCTGTTCTGGTAGCACACTCAGTACCAGTATCTGGTTTGGTGGTTCTCTTAGCACCATTGCTAGTTTTGACAACATATTCAGTCACTGTTTCAGTGGCTCTTCTAAGACCAGTGATGATTTTGGCAGTATGCTAAGCACCATTATCTGTTTTGGTGGTTCTCCCAACATTAGTGCATACTTTAGTGGTGCACTCAACACAAGTGTTGGCTTTGGTGGTACACTCAATACAGTACTGGTTTTAGCAGTGCTGTCATTACCAACTCCAACAACCCATGCAGCACCAACTCTGGCTTTGGCAGTGTGTTCAGGTGTTGGCAGCCTGCTGCCCTAAAGGGAGCCAGAGTTCTCTGGCTGTACCTGAGAGTACCTGTTTACTCTGCATACAGAATTCCAGGAGGTTAGAAGTTCTGCAAACAGAACTTCTTTGCAGAATTGACTCCTGTTCTCTGAGGACATACTGGCTTGTGCGCATGTTCTCTGTTAAGTAGAAAAGCTTGTTCCAGCAATAATTTATTAATTTGTATAAGCATAAACACAATCATGTGCTATTTTCTTATGCCTTTGTTCATACCTTTAATAAAAGCTTGTGCTGGAAGAGTAAAAGCGAGTTGCTCTCAATGGCACTCTCCCCACCCTCCCCCTCTTGCAAATTCATTTAGAATCCAAGTCTTCATTAATAGCTGAGAACTTCATCAGCTATCCACAGTATTCAGCACCAATGCTGATGTCAGTGGGGCAATTAGCACCACTAATTACTTTGGACAAGCTCCTAGCACCAGCATTGGTTTTGGTGGAACTCCCCTCATTGGTCTCTGCTTTGGCAGTGCTTTCAATACCAATTTATGTCCTAGTACCAGTGCCACTTTTGGTAAATGGGTTAAGCACCAGCACTGGATTTAGTAGCAGTCATCTTGGTGTTGGACTGGGCACCAATGCTGGTTTTGGCAGCACACTGCTGCTGGCTTTAGTGGTGACCTTAGCATCAGTGATGGTTTTGGAAGTGGGCCTAATACCAAATTTCAGAGAGGACTGAATACCACCATTGCCTTAGGCAGTGGTTCCAACACCAACACTGGTTTTCCTGGAGAATGCAGCACCAGCTCTACTTACAATAGCAGTGGAGTAAGCACTTGTACTAGCTATGGTGGTAGAGCCACCAGCCTTGGTCCCAGCTTTTCCTATGGATGGTGAGGTTTTGAATAATTACAACATTTCCACAGACAAGGTCGATGAGGATGGAAATAAGAGCTGGAAGACATTAACAAAACTTTGAAGTAGCAAGGCAGAGTGTGGAGGTAGGGACAAAGAAGAAAGTATGAGAAAACAGTATATTTGGTGCTAAAATGTGTTCTTGTTAGTGAATTGCAATAGGCTTTCTCATGGAGCCAAGGGTACACATCCTTGGAATCTTTGTTCAGAGTAATATAAACAGCTACTATAATCAATAATCTGAGGCTTGTGTGCTATGAAAAATATGTTTGCTGATTCTGCTTTATTGTGTGATTTTTTGTGTGTGCTATTGTATTTTGGTATCAGAGTTATGTTCAATTTGCAAAATGAATCAGAGATTTTTCTGTCTTTTAATGTGTTTGGGTTGTTGTGAGTGACAATTGGGGTTCATAGAAGAGCTAGAGATCAGTGTGACGTTTACTGAACATGGGCCCCAGCTTTAGGCTAAAAGGTAAGTATGACTTCAGTGGATAGAAAGCTTACCAGACAAGTGAATAACAGCTTCAACAAAGGTGTGTAGGGGGAAGTTCTGGAACAGAAGACAAAGAACTCTGGACAATAAGTATAGGTTCATTTTGATAATATTTTGTAAGAATGGAGGAATAAAGTGGGAGGCCATTGGAGGTATACACAGAGACAAGATAGGATTTTCTTAGGATAGGAGAGAGACTGAGCATGTTGCATAGACTGTGAAGGCAAAAGCAAATGGAGTAGAATAGGAGAGAGATATGGAATAGTTAGTAAGAGACTGATGTAACCCATCCCTGAGTAGATGGGATGGAATAGGGTGCTAGAAAATAGAAGGTGACTGTGACTTTGAACAGAATTTAAGAGTGACTATGGAAACAGATAAATGTACATTTGCTTCTGTAGTAGAACCTAAGAAAAAGTGATGGTCTTGCTGGATAGTTGCAATGTAAAGACAAAGGAACAAAGGCAACAAGTCTATGAGTCTGTCTCTTTGCCACTGTGACACTAGTACTTGCCTATATTGAGTGGTGAGTGGCTGAAGAGAGAGAATGCAGGATTCCAACTAATTAGGGATGGAAGAGCAACAAGGAGGGAAAGAACTTATAGATTGGGAGACAGTAGAGGAATCGAATCAAAGGACCATACTTTGCACTACATATTTCATGCAGTATAAGGACAAATATTGTTCATTCAAGGAATTCTACATGCATGCCTACTGTGAAGGAAGCACACTGCTAAGGACCCTGTGAATGATGCAGGTTTTAAGGACTGGAGGGCCAGTGGTAAGATAATGGGGTGCTTGCAAGAAATTAGAATGGGGAGAAGTTTAGATAATGTTAAGATTTACAATAGCTAAGCTTTGGAAACAACCCAAATGCCCAAAAATAGATGACTGGATCAAGAAGATGTGGTCCATATACACAATGGAATATTACTCAGCATTCAAAAAAGATAAACACATGCAATTTGCAGCAACATGGATGGCACTGGAAGGGATCATGCTCAGCAAAATAAGCCAGAAAGAAAAAGAAAAATGTCGGATGGTCTCACTCATAGCAGGAATCTAGAAAACTTAAATAAGAGACAAGGAAAAAGAATAACTATAAGAAAGTAAAAATCAAAGTCAACAAACAACTATGAACCAGAGACACTCTATGGGGGTAGGAGGGAGGGAAAGGAGGGATTGGGGTCAAAATAAGCGGGTTGCAATTGTACGGGGAATATAAAAATAAAATTTAAATTTAAAAAAAGAAAAAAAGAAAGAAAAAAAAGAAAAAAATAGATTCATGGAGTGGGTAGTTGAAGGGGTGATGATCACTGTAAGTTGATGGGGGACAGGGGACTGGTAGGCCAGAATATTGTTTGGATCATTTATGTAGATATCGAAATCACCCAGGATGGCAGCAAGATTTGGAGAAGAAAGGAACAATGTGTTTCAAGTGCAGATTCTTCTGTGAGCACATGGATGAAAGTGTCCTTTCCTCAGTCATGTTGCCTGCCAAGGAACAAGGCCTATAGGCACTCACAGGGATGTATCTCCCCCTTGACTTTTGAATGTGCTACCCAAAACTCTTCCTAGAAAGGAAGACTTCATCCATTCTATACCCCCACAGCACCAAAGTCAATTCACAGGATCAGGATCTTAAGATTATGTGGGTGGTCTCAAAATGACCTCTCTCCTCTTACAGGCAATAAGAGAAGTCTTTATTGATCAGGTAATATGAATCAAGAAAGAAAAAGCCTCTTCCAGAGTTGTACAGCTACTTGATTGTAGCTAGAAATCTAGAGCTGTTTTGGTGCTCTCAATGGGCTAGAAGAAGGGTTCTCTCAGAGAGGCCAAATCCAGAGTCTTCTCAAAGTAGGAGAAGAGAAAGGAGAAAAACTTCCAGAAATAGAAGACTGTGAGGACAGAGAAGTCTCCTGGAAAGGGCTCAGTAGTGGGCAGGGACAGTATCCAGGGCTTCATCTGGTTCCCGGGTGATGTCCACATTCTGGAATGGAAAGAGCCAGGATTAATAGGGAAGAGACAGAGCCCAGCCCCTCCACTACCCCTTGTCCTCACTATCACATTACCCTCTTTCAGGCAGGCCTGGATCCTGACCCCTCTTTGAGCAAGCCCCCAAGGATCTCAGCCTGAGGCCTTTTGGGCAGGGTTCCTCTAGTCTGTGTCTTTATAGTGCCTGGGGTCTGGGCTGTGTTTTCTGCATTTCTGAGTGCTGGCTATTCTACTGCCAGTGCAAAGCACCCAAGCTCTGTGGGGTTGGGGTGGCTTCTGTGGGGGACAGGTAGGCTTTAACCATGTGACACAAAGTCCCTCACCTACCTCAGGCTTCTCCCGGTGTGTGTTTACAGCCTCCACATTCAGGTAGATGGACTCCACATTGCAACCTCAGAAAAGAACAAGCCATCAATCCAGAAGCCCTTGAGGTGAGTACAATTCTTGCCGGAGGTGTCATTCCCTCCCCGTCATCAGTCATCACCACCCCACCCCAAGCTCGGCCTATGTGCAGATTGTGACTGCCCTGTAGGGAGGGACTTTACACCAGATGTGTGATTTTGGGGCCCACCGCAGGCCTAAGAGGAAACCAACAGGGTGTCCTCCCAGTCCTACCCCTAATAAAAGTTTCAGAGTTCTACAGGCCTCAGATGCTCAGTTGGGAATGGGAAGGAGATGAGACGAGATGAATTCTGGGGACTCCCCAAAGTCTCGTGGTCAATGAGGCAGCAATTTAATCAATAAACAACTATGGATGGAGCCTGGTAGATCTCCTGAGCTGTGTTAGGTGCCAAAGTGGCAGATGAGTCCTAGGGCCACTGCCTTGGGGTGATGGGTCACAGGCAGAGTTTATTTTGAGGACAATGTTGTTGTGGCAACACCAGAAGTGTGGGAGGTCACAAGGGAATTCTGGGGAGCCTCAAGAAGAAGGGTAGTATCAGTGGGACCTGGACCTGCCAGAGGAGGCCCGTTGCCTATGGAAACCCGCTTATCTCCAGCCATATGGATGGCAGCCTACTCCAGGCTGCAGTACATCGTCTGCCCTGTCACACCCCAGAAGAGATTTGATTTTTCTCTTCCTTGCTCATGAAAATTTCATAGTTAACTAATGCCCCAAGAGAGTCTAAACTGCCCAGGATAGTCTTTGAGCCTTTCTTCAATCTGGCATCAACCTATACTTATTCCTCTGGTTTCCTTCTAAACCTTGGAACTCTTGCTCAGTTCTCTGGCAGAGACAGTGAAACTTGGAACCAGACCCTGGATTTAGAGCATTCCAGTCCTTCTTCAATCTCATTTCACCAGTCCTACCACCACCAGAGCACCCAAAGACCCACCCAGGGAACCTCCCCCATGATTCTGCAGGGAAATTAGTAAGCAGTGGAGACATGTTCATGGCCTCTGTCTGCTTTTCTCCAGATGAAGGTAGAGGCACTCACCGTAAGCCACAGGTGTGAGTTTTAGCACTGTATGAAGAGGGCATTTGAGATATGGTAGCTCATCTGAAAGGGAGGAAAAGCAGAGTTCAGGACAGGGTGCCTGGAAAGGAACCACCTCCCCCTTCCAGCCTCCTTCCAACACCCTACCCCTTGGTGGGCCTCCCCAGGGGCCTACTCGCCCCACACTCTGCAGGGGACAGTGCTGAGGGGAGGGTGGGCAGGGAGGGAGCTATCAAGAGAGGTGGTCTCCAAAGCAGGAGGATGGAGGACCCTGGGGAGTGCAGACAGACTGTGCGTCCCCAGGAGGGTCAGGCGGGCCACCTGGAAGGGAGGTGGAGGTAGCCTACCTCCTGCCCCAGCATGGGCTTTCCACATACACTCCCCTGCCACAAAGGCCAAGGCACAGCACAGCAGTGGTTTCTGATGCCCTGCTCTGCTCCAGGGCCCCTGGATGAGCTGTGCCTGCATCCTGGCAGTCGTGTGCTCTGACTCCTCCTACACTTGCTCATGGAGGAGCATTCCTGGAGTCACAAAGGTGTTCTGAATAATCCCACACCATCTCTTGTGTGGGCCTGGAGTTCACTCACCTGCCAGCCCTGAGAGGAGGGATGGCAGGCCTGTTCTTGATGAGGACCCTGAGGCTCTGGGAGGGAACAACATGCCTCAGTCATAGGGCCAGGAAGTGGGAGGTGGGTCTGGACATAGAGCCTTCTGAGGCACGTGGGTGCTCTGCCCAGCGTGGGCTGCCACCTTGCCTCTGAGGGCTCACGGTGTCATAGGGGCAATAAGGCCACCCCTTGCTGCTCTGCTGACTCCACACTCTCACCCATCCAGGAAGACCATACTGCCCAGTTCTTCCTCGTTGCTTGGTCTGGATCACCACCCCTCAGGGCTTCCTTGCACCTGAGGTTCAGCCCAGGCCTTCAAGGCCCGCAACCAACCTCATGGGGTCCTGCCATGTCAGTTTCCTGATTTCCTGGGCATCCATCCTGCTCCTCCTCCTCATCTTTGTTATCATGGAGGTTGGGCGTAGGGAGGGGCCTTTTGTGCACTCTCTCATTTCACCCTCGCTGATCCCCTGCGGGGTAACTTTTCCCAGGTGCACACTTGGCAAACACTGGGAGAAGGGAGGTGACCTGCCTGAAGTCTCTGACCCGGTTTGGCCACCCCGGGGACAAAGGACCTGGGCAGAGCCTGTCTCGCTCTCCACCCCCAAGTTCCATCTCTCATGGCTCAGGTTCGGACTAGACCCTGGACATACTCTGAGGGTCCCATGTTCTCAGCCTTGTGGTCTCTCTGGGCCTAGTGGGCTGGGGGCCTGGATATTCGTCTAAGCAGGTAGGACATGGGTAAGGCAATGAGCAAACAGGTGTCTGTGTGCACCAAACTCCACATAGGTGTGAGAGGGAAGGGCCTCTGGAATGTGTCTGAGATCCACACCTCTCCCTGCCTCCTGAGCCCCGTGACCTCGGACAAGTCACTTTTTCTCTCAGAGATGCCATCTCCTCGTCCGCAGTCAGGGGTTCTGCACCATCTCACAGCACACAGGGTAGCGCTAGCAGTAGAGATGTGCCTGGTGTCAGAAATCTAGAAGCACAGGACCCCCACCCCAACTCCATCACCTTGTTCAGTGAGGAGATCGAGGCCCTGGCAGAGGAAATACTTGAACTATGTCAGCTCTCAGCTTCCGGCTTCCCATTCTGGATGACTCTGTTTTACAAATGCCCTTGGAAGCTGGCACCACGGAGGAAATCCAAGTCTGCAGGACATTGCACACTTCAGTGTGGCTTTGGACTCTCATGATTTTGCCCTTTACACAACTTCACAGTATCCCCATTTTACAGATAAGGAAACTGAGGCCAGAGAGGTTATAGTAATTTGTCAAATCTGGTATGTGAGAGAACAAGAACTTGAATTCAGGCATCCTTGTCCAGGGTGTTGTGATTTTAAATACTAAGATATAAACTGATGTTAGGGTCTCAAATCACAGCTATTTCCCCCTAGCATAACAGAGAGGAGAGTGGTACCTGAGCTCTTATCCAGGAAGTAGGCCAAGAGGCACCGCATGACAGCCTGATGGCAGATCACCAGTACATTTTCCTGTCGTTCTAGTTCCATTATAACTGGTTCCAAACGCTGAACCAGATCCTCATAAGACTAAAAATGAGAAAAATTCTTCATAAGAGAGGGAGATAAAACACATTTGCCCAGAGGAAAAGAACTCTAGACTAGGAAATCAGGAAAATTTGGTTCTGATGCCAAACTACACTAGTTGTTGACATAGCAGTACAATCTTAGGCGATTTACTTCTTAGAGTCATAGTTTCTCATATATTAAATGGGGGCAATCAATTTAGTGGACTGGACAACAATAACAAAAGTAAAATTTTCCATTACAATATTCCTAGAAAACTAGATAACATAGTCTTTTCAACTGTATTGCTGATCTTTAAAAAAATAAACATTATGAATACAGGGTTCCAAAAATAAGGAAAAACTTGGGGGGAAATGAGTGGTTAATGTTTGTAAAAGCCAAAACTTCCCTGGAGGCATTTGTAAATCACAACAGCCAAAGTTGTGACTTTTAAAAACTTTATATAGACAGGAGACAAAGACTTAGGTGCACATGCTAGAAGTTGGTACTGAGACGCTCACATAAATATGAAACCCTCAAATGACTACATTTTCAGTGAAGTTATAAACTAGAAAAATAATATATTTACAGACAAAGGAAACAATGTGAAAATCTATCTGTCTCTACTTGACTTTTGGTGGAAAAAATTAAGAGAAACCTCCTGTAGGAATGTACAACCCCAAGTTTACTCTTGGCTTGGTTTGTGGTTCAGAATTACACTACTTGTGTGTTTTACATAATGCTAAACTGAGAGTTTAATACAAAATGATTTCAAGTAATTAGCTCCTAAGAGTGTCTGGATGAAGCGAATGTAAATTCTCTCAACTCAGGCTGTATAGGACTTTCCCAGATAAAATTTTGCTAAATTGAATTTCACATAACATGCAAGGAAAATAAAGTATATTGCATGAAAATAAGCAGAAATATCAAAGAAAGATCCCTAAAAACTTAAGATGAAGGATCTACAACATGCAACAAATGTTTAAATTTTTTAACAAAATAAAATGTGGAATAAAAATGTAAGGAGGGCCTCCCTGGTGGCGCAAGGGGTAAGCACCGCACTATGAAGCAATCAGCAGCCTCTGCAGCATGAGTTCGATCCCCGGCCGGCCAGAGAGAAACCCACACGGCAAAGCAGACCTCTCTTGTCTCGCCCGCTGCGCCCCTCAGCAGTGTGTTTCAGTCAGTCTGCCTGTTCTGTTCCTCACTCTGTCTCTGGTGAATCCTCTCACCCCCCCATCTCTGGCCTGTACCCCAGCTCTTGTATGCAAAAATAAATACATATTTAAAAAAATAAAAATGTAAGGAAGGAAAAAGATGCTATCAAGTATATGATGTAAATTTGAAAAATAATTAGAATTTCTGGAAATGAAAAATATATTCATTAAAATTGCAAACTAAATACACAATAGATTAGATACAACTTAAGAAACAGTGACTTGGAAAATAAAGTTGAAGAAATCACTCAGAATGAATCAAAGAGATTGAAAATAAGACCAAAAAGTTAGGAGACACAAAAGATAGAAACAGGACTAACAGGTCTAATTGCATTTACAGAAGGAGAGAAAATAGAAAGTGAGATGGTGATAATTAATTGTGTAAGTTATGACAATTTTCCAGAATTGATGTTGAATCCTAATATTCAGTTTCAGAAAGTCTAACTAACCTCAAGCAAGATAAATGAAAAGGATTTAATATTTAGACATATCAGAATGGAACTTAAAAAAAAAATAAAGACACAAAAACCTTAAAAGCAGTCAGAGAAAGAAGAAACAGCAATTAGATTAATAAGAGACTTCTTAGCCACATCAGGAGTGCAAATACACTGGGGCTAATATCTGCTAAGAGAAAACAACTGTTAGCCTAGACTTTTATACCAAAATGGCATCTAGGGTCAGGGACCCTCCTCCCAAAGATATTTTTAAACAAAAAGAAAGATGAGTTTATTATTAATAGAACCTCACTGAAGAAACTTATAAAGGAAGATGGAAATTAAATCCAGAAGAAAGACTTGAGATGTGAGAAGGAAGAATAATCAATGGAATTGGTGAACATGTGGTTAAATCTAAATAAACACTGTATAAAATAACAAATGATTTAATAATGATTATAATTCATTAGGAGATTGACAACAAGTTCAACTAAAATACAGAACAGTAATTATCGTGTACTTTGAGAGAGGTAATGACCAGAGTTTTAAAGTTTTTATATTGTTTTAGGGGAAGGTTGAAGTTTAAGCTTAACATTTTGTTAATCATATAACTTCAAATGTCAAAAGTAACCTCAAAAAATAATGGAAATAAATTATATAAATTAATTATAGATTAGCAACTCTATTCCTAAAAAAGTGAAAAATAAACTAAGCATACAGAGCACAAAACAAAACAATAACTTTAAAGATATCAGTAATTAAATAAAATAAATGTACAAAACTTACCATTAAAAGACATATTTTCAGTTTATAATAATATCTACATAAATAAACTACATGCTGTTTACATGAGATGGAAAACAAAAATACAGAGAAATTGAAAGACAATGAGCAGATAAAGATGAACTAGGTAAATACTATCCAGAAGAATTTTTGCATAACTATATTAATATTAGGTAAAATACACTTTTAGGCAAAAAGCACTATTGGCAGAAAAGAGGTTTCCTCACTGTATAATTATAAAGCATATAATTGCCTAAGAGGATATAATTTCTTTAATTTTGTATGTCTCTAATAACATAGCCTCAAAATATATTTAAAAAATGATACAAACTCAGATTAACCTTATAATATCTGAGAAAGAAGATAAAAAAATACCCAAGTGCTATGTAATATAGCATACCTATTGTTTTATCTTCCCATATGTCCTGTTTCTCTAATAGTTTTTCCTAGGGCTTTATAACATACATGGAGTACGACTAGTAAATGCTATAAATATGAAATTATTTAAATGGAGGGTAGGTTGAAAACAATGAGGATTCACTTTATATGGATATAGGGAATTGATGGCCTGGTTTCTGTGGTGGCAAAGTTGGTTCAACTCTTAGTTACCGTACCTTGGGATTCCAACCCACTGTTCAGAGAGACTGGAACTTTACATACCTTGGTATTAACACTTCAGAAAATTACAGTAAGTAGAACTATTTTAAGTGATTTTAGTGAAAGGATAAGAAACAACATCTAGGGACTCCCTGGTGGCTCAAGGGGTTAAGCACAGCACTGTGAGGCAGTCCGCTGCCTGTGCAGCACCAGTTGGATCCCAGGCTGGCCAGGGAGCAACACACATGGTGCAGCAGGCCTGTCCTATCTTGCCCGCTGTTCCCCTCGGCAGTGTATTTCAGTCAGTCTGCCTGTTCTGCTCCCCACTCTGTCTCTGGTGAATCCTCTCACCCTCTGCACCTCTGGCCTGTACCCCAGTTCTTGTATGCATACATAAAGAAATCTTTAAAAAAAAAAAGAAACAACATCTAGGATAAAGGATCTCTCCCAAAAGTAGAGAGGGAATAAGAAGGTAAACATGTAACTTTTTTTAAAAAAAAATCTGATACATCTAGCCAAGAATCTGAGGCAGCCAAGGGATAGATAGATAATCATGTGACTTGCATGATGGCAGCTGCTGCAAAATGTGCTTTACCCTTTTTCTAAAGCTGTCTAGGAAACTAGAGAATTCTCATAGTTGGAGTGGAATACTGGGGAGGAATCTTAGGAGTCAAGTCACCCTTCCAAATTTTACCTCTCCTTTGGGATAGCGGTAGCGATATTTGTCTTGATCTCGTAGTGCAAATTCTTCAGGGTAGTTTTCCTGAATTTCTTCATAGGTCATCTCCTCACAGACACCCTGAGACAAAAGTATTCATAAGGTGAAATTCTCACAGCTTTTCCCATAGTTCTGAGGTCAGTGACTGTGGAGCAGCAGCACATGAGCATCTAGGTCTCTGTGAACACAGTTCTATGTTTGTGCTTGTCATCCAAGTGTATGTGTGTTTGTGTGTGCATGGGGCATATGACTGTGACAATGTGAGAGTGAGTGTGTTCAGGCTAAGTGTATGGTGGCAGGTATCTGTGCTTTTCCTCAATAAGTTTGTAGGTGTACATTGTACATATAAGTATGTGGACTTAAGGGTTTGTGACTGTGTGTGCTTGTGTGTATGCAGTATGCTTATGATGTGTGGTATGGTTAAGGCCCGATGTCTTGTGCTTGTGTATTTGTCTCAATTTATGTAGTGTGTTTGTGTAAGTATGTGTACAGGGTGTTTGAGCAACTGAGAATATGCCTGTGTGGGAGTCTCTATAGTTTCTCTCTTCATATATTTATAGTGTGTTTATGGCATGTCTATATGAGAGTGTGCATGTCTCCTCAGATTATGTCTCTGGTGTATATGTATGTGAGTATCTATGTGACTTTGTCTGAGATCTGTGTGACCTTGTGCTAATATGCTAGGCACTATGTATGTACTGAGTAAATATCCATGGTATACCTCTCTTCATGTGATGTAGATAAATACAAAGATTGAATTATGTCTATGCAATGTGTCCATAAGTAGCTCTAGGTGTGTGTCTATAATGTGTATATGTATACACATATGGTGTGGGTGTGAAGGGTGGATGTGTGAGAGAGAGCCTTGTCTTACCAGGTAGGTCCGTGTGTCTATGAGTGTGTCTATGAGTATGTTTGTGAATGCAGACACACTTGTGGCTGTCTGTCATTGTGTATGCAAGTGCACATGTGTGTGAAAATCCGCAGCAGTTGTCTTCCATTATACAGCATTTATGATTCCTCTTGCTGCTACCTTTGCTCCAGTATCTCTGGCAGATAAATGAAAAGGTATCCACAGACATCTCAGAAGACAAGAATTAATAAATCCTATAGTTTCAGAGTGGGCCTTGGGGAGATACACTCCCCTCACTCAAAGAAGGAATCAAGGACTCAGCAAATGAGTTCCTCAGAAGCACAAGAGAACTTCCTCAGTCCACTGAGAAATCCCATAAGTGAGGTGGCTGATGGTAGGAATGGAAAGTGATGTTGGGTTTTAAGGTTTTATTCTGGTTGTATAAATTCCAATTAGATATTCCTGTAGAGGAATAGTAGTTTGGTAGTTGTCTTTTGAGGGTTCCCTAGGGATGAGGTATACCACTCCTGCCTTAGCACACCGACAGCCCTGCAGTGTCAAACTTCTCTAACTGATACTGTGCATGGGAGAAAGTGTACCCCACAGGATACACAACTTCCCTTAGGATTGGCTTTGACTTTCTATTCTGAGGTATGATGGAACTTATTGCTTGTGAAAATGGTCATTGATTCCTTATTTTTTTTAAATAATAAATTTTATTTTTATATTCCCCATACAATTGCAGCCCCCCCATTCTGAACGCAATCCCTCCCCTCCCGCCCCCGCCCCAAAAAGTGTCTCTGGTTCATAGTTTTTTGTTGATTTTGATTTTCACTTTCTTATAGTTATTCATTTTCCTGGTCCCTTATTTAAGTTTTCTAGATTCCTGCTATGAGTGAGACCATCCGGTATTATTCTTTTTCTTTTTGGCTTATTTCGCTGAGCATGATCCCTTCCAGCGCCATCCATGTTGATGCAAATTGCATGTGTTTATCTTTTTTGAATGCTGAGTAATATTCCATGGTATATATGTACCACATCTTCTTGATCCAGTCATCTATTTTTGGGCATTTGGCTGTTTCCAAAGCTTAGCTATTGTAAACAGTGCTGCTATAAACATAGGGGTGCAGGTGTTCTTTGGAATTGATGTTTCTGTGTCCTTTGGGTAATACCTAGGAGTGGAATTGCTGGATCATATGGAAGCTCTATGTTTAGAAGGTCCAGAAATCTCCACAAAGCTCTCCATAGTGGTTGGACCAGTTTGCACTCCCACAAACAATGCAGAAGAGTTCCTTTTTCTCCACACCCTCGCCAACATTTGCTGTTGCTAGTTTTTTTAATGTGCCATTCTCACTGGTGTAAGATGGTATCTCATGGTAGTTTTGATTTGCATTTCCCTGATGACAAGTGATGTTGAACATTTTTTCATATGCCTGTTGGCCATTTGCATTTCCTCTTCAGAGAAGTTTCTTTTTAGCTCTTCTGCCCATTTTTTGACTGGATTATTTTCTTTGTTGTTGTTGAGTCTCATCAGCTCTTTGCAGATTTTTGTGATCAGTCCTTTATCATTAGTGTTGTGTGCAAAAATGTTCTCCCAGTTGGTGGGGTTTCTCTTTGTTTTTGTTATTGTCTCTTTTGCTGTGCAGAAGCTCTTTAATTTGATGTAGTCCAGCTGTTTATCTTTGCCTTCACTATCACTGCTTTGGGTGATGTGTCTGTAAAGATGTCTTTGATGTGCAAATCACGTAGTGTTCGCCTATATTTCCTTCTATATATTTTATGGTTTCAGGTCTTATGTCTAGTTCTTTAATCCATTTTGAGTTGATTTTTGTGTATGGTGTGAGGTAGTGGTCAAGCTTCATTCTTTTGCATGTAGCGACCCAGTTTTCCCAGCACCATTTATTGACCAAACTTTCTTTGCTCCAATGCATAGTCTTTGCTCCTTTGTGAAAGATTAGTTGACCATAAATCTGTGGGTTTATTTCTGGATTTTCTATTCGATTCCATTGGTCTGTATGTCTGTTCTTGTTCCAATACCATGCAGTTTTGATGATTATGGCTTTGTAGTATAGTTTGAAGTCTGGGAGTGTGATGCCTCCATTCCCTTCTTTTTTTTTTCAGGAGTGCTTTGGCTATTCGGGGTTTTTTGTGATTCCATATGAATTTCATCAATAATTGTTCTATTTCTTTGAAGAATGACATTGAAATTTTGATTGGAATAGCATTGAATCTGTATATTGCTTTTGGTAGGATGGCCATTTTAGTAATGTTTATTCTTCCAATCCATGAGCAGGGGATGTCTTTCCATTTCTTTGTGTCTTCTTCTATTTCTTTTAACAGTGTTTTATAGTTTTCTTTGTATAGGTCCTTTACCTCTTTTGTTAGATTTATTCCCAAATATTTGATTTTTTTTGTTTCAATAATAAAAGGGATGTTTTTTTTTATTTCTTCTTCTTCAGTTTTATTGTTTGTGTATAGGAAGGCTACTGACTTTTTCGTGTTGATTTTGTATCCTGCCACTTTACTGAACTGATTGATGAGTTGAATTAGTTTTTCTGTGGAGTTTTTGGGGTTCTCTATGTATATTATCATATCATCTGCAAATAGTGATAGTTTGACTTCTTCTTTTCCTATTTGGATTCCTTGGATGTCTTTCTCTTGTCTTATTGCTCTGGCTAGGACTTCCAGTATTATATTGAAAAGCAGTGGTGAGAGTGGACATCCTTGTCTTGTTCCAGATCTTAATGGAATTGCTTTCAGCTTTTCACCATTGAGAATGATACTGGCTGTTGGCTTGTCATAGATGGCCTTTATGATGTTGAGGTATGTTCCTTGTATCCCAAGAATTTCAAGGGCTTTTATCATGAATGGGTGTTGCACTTTGTCGAATGCTTTCTCAGTATCTATTGATATTATCATATGGTTTTTATATTTCTTTTTGTTGATGTGTTGGATAACGTTGATTGATTTTCGGATGTTAAACCATCCTTGTGTCCCTGGAATGAATCCTACTTGGTCGTGGTGAATTATCTTATGCATACATTGTTGGATTGTGATAGCTAAAATTTTAATGAGGATTTTTGCATCAGTGTTCATTAGGGAGATTGGCCTGTAGTTTTCCTTTTTTGTGTTGTCCTTGTTCGGTTTTGGTATTAGTGTAATTTTGGCTTCATAGAACGTGTTTGGTATTGTCCCTTCCTTCTCAATTTTTTGGAAGAGTTTGTGAAGGATTGGCACTAATTGGTCTCTGAATGTTTGGTACAATTCATTTGTAAATCCATCAGGTCCTGGGCTTTTGTTTTTGGGGAGGTTTTTGATTACCATTTCAATTTCGCTGCTTGTAATTGGTCTGTTTAGGTGTTCTGTTTCTTCTTTATCTAGCTTTGGGTGATTGTAGAGTTGTAGGAATTTGTCCATCTCCTCTAGATTGTTAAACTTGTTTCCATATAACTGTTTATAGTAGTTACTGATTACTCTTTTGATTTCTGCTGTGTCCGTTGTGATTTCTCCTCTTTCATTGATGATCCTGTTTATTTGTGCTTTCTCCCTATTTTCCTTTGTGAGCCTGGCTAGGGGTTTGTCTATTTTATTGATTTTTTCAAAGAACCAGCTTTTGGTTTCATTGATCTTTTGGATTGTTTTTTTAGTTTCAATTTCATTTATTTCTGCTTTGGTTTATTATTTCTTTTCTTCTACTGGTTTTGGGGTTTTTTTGTTGTTAGTTTTCTAGTTCTTTGAGCTTCGAGATTAGGTTGTTTTTTGAGTTCTTTCTTGTTTCTTGATGTGAGCTTCTATTGCTATATATTTTCCAGTGGTCTTCCAGTAGTGTGGTTTTTAATATCCATGAGGTAGGAAAGTTCCTTGCCTACTTTTTATGGTTTATTTATAGTTTGATGCCTTCATGGTCAGAAAAGATGGTTGATATTATTTCAATCTTGGTGTATCTGTTGATGTTTGTCTTGTGCCCCAGTATGTGATCGATCCTGGAGAATGATCCATGTGCGCTTGAGAAAAATGTGTACTCCATTTTTTTGGGGTTTATTGTTCTATAGATGTCTGTTAAGCCCAAATGCTCTAGGTCCTTATTTAGAGCTTTGGTTTCTTTACTTTTTTTTTTGTCTTGTTGATCTATCCATTCTTGATAGTGGTGTGTTGAAGTCTCCCACTACGTATGTGTTTTCTCTGATGTCTGTTTTCAGAGAGGACAACAGTTGTCTGATATATTTTGGTGCTCCTTCGTTTGGTGAGTATATGTTAATGAGTGTTATTTCTTCTTGAAGTATTGTCCCCTTGATCATAATGTAGTCACCATTGGGGTCTCTTTTTATTTTTTTGCGTTTGAAATCTGTTTTATCTGATATAAGTATAGCTGTTCCTGCTTTCTTTTTTGGTCCATTTGCTTGTAGGATTGATTTCCATTCTTTAACTTTGAGTCTATTTTTATCTTTTGTAGCTAAATCTATTTCCTGGAGACAGCAAAAGGTTGGGTTTTGTTTCTTAATCCAGGCTGCAACTCTGTGTCTTTTTATTGAAGAGTTTAGTCCATTTACATTTAGAGTTAATATTGATATGTTAGCATCTGTATTTGCCATTGTGTTTGTCTTTCCTTTGATTTTATTTATTTATTCTTTTAATAACTTTTTTTTTTTTGCCTTCTTTCATTGTTATTTGTCCCTCTGAGGTTCTGGCTTTAGGACTCCTTGTAGTATTTTTTGGAGTGGGGGTTTAGTTGTAATGAAATTCCGGAGTTTCTGTTTGTCTGGGAAGGTCCTTATTCTTTCTTCATAGAGGAAGGAGAGCTTTGCGGGATAGAGTATTCTTGGTTGGCATCTGTTTTCTTGGAATCTGTTGACTATGCCCTCCACTCTCTCCTTGCCCATAGTGTTTCTTTGGAGAAGTCTGATGTCAGCCTGATTGGCTTTCCTTTGAATGTTATCTGTTTCTTCCCTCTTGCCACCTTCATTATTTTTTACTTGTCTTGGATTCTTGGGAGCCTTACTATTATGTGTCTTGCTGTATTTTTCCTTTCGTCATGGAAGTTTGGTGTTCTTCTTGCTTCTTGTATATCAATTTTCAGCTCCTTCTTCACATTTGGGAAGTTCTCTTCAATTATCTCTTTGAATATTTTCTCTGTTCCTACATCTCTCTCCTCTCCTTCTGGAATTCCTATAACTCTTATATTTCCTTTCCTCATGGAGTCAGATAGTTTGCGAAGTCTTTCTTCGTTCTTTTTCCTTCGTACTTCTCTTTCCTTTTCTGTTTTGGTTCTTTTTATTTCTGTGTCTTCAAGAGAACTTATTCGTTCTTCCATTTCATCTATTCTGCTTTCATTGCTTTTCCCACAATTCTTTAGTTCTTCCATTAATTCTTTGATCTCCTGCATTTCCTTTACTTCCCTCTTTAGGGACTCAATTTCATTCTTCTTTTCGTTGATTATTTTTCCCTTATCATTGTTTTCCTTTATGACTTCTGTCAGTTTTTTAATCACGGCAATTTTAAATTCTCTTTCTGGAAGGCTCAGAAGTTCTTCCAAGTTACTGTCGTTGCAATCTGGGGCCTGGTTTTCTTTTTGTGGTGTGCTTTTTCTCTGGGGAGTTGCTAGGTTGCGTGTGGTTCTTCTACTCCCTACTGTCTGTTTTCTAATTTGCCGTATGCATTGGGACACTGTGTTGCTGGGACTGGCTGGCATCTTGGGTGAGCTTCTCTGCTCCCCTCTGGTTCCTCCAGGAGCCATCTGTCAGTTTCAAGCAGTCTTTACTGGAGAAAGGTCCCTGTTCTAAAATGCCGATGTGGGGACACACTCCCCTGTGTGCCTGGTCTCCCCCAGCGGTGGGTTCCTGCTCCCCCTCTGGGCTTGGACTGCAGGCCAGAGGGGGTCTGGCGTGGGCGAAATTCCCCCGCTCACCCCTGGCTCCTGAGGAAGCCTTCTGCAGGTAGTCTTTACTGAAGAAATGTCCCTGTTCTAAAATGGTGATGTGGGACACACTCCCTGCGCGTCCGGTCTCAGGCACACTCTTTTGCGCGCCTGGTCTGCTCCGGCTGTGGGTGCTCGCTCCCCCTGTAGGCTCAGACTACTGGTTGGCAGGGGCCCGGCGTAGGCTAACTCCCCAGCTGGCCACTGGCTCCTCCAGGAGCCTCTGTTGGTTTCAAGTCGCTAGGTGGCGCCAGAGGTCTCTCCTAGAGCCCTTGGGGAGCTGATTTTCCACCCCATGGGACAGGGAAGAGAGCGGGAATGGTAGGGTAAACCTCAATGGCTTTGGGGTGCTGTGTCTGCCTTGTGCCCCACTGTCGTGGAGAACCCACGCCCCGAATTTCGTGCCCCGGGTCTCAGTCCCAAAGCCCTCAGGTCCAGAACGCGGGCTGTAGCCCAGTTCAGTGTCCACAGAATAGAGTCTTTTGCACCCCACTCCCGTGCCTGGGTGCCTGGTTCCTGTTTACTCAGTGAGGGACTTTCACCTCAGTGAGGGTCTTCGCGCGCGTCTCCCCGCATGCCTAGGTAGCAGGCGCGGGGACCTGGGCAGCTGGGATCCCGATCTGCGTTTGCTTTTCAACCGCACTGCTTTTCCGCGCGATCCCGATCTGATCTGTGTTTGCTTTACCAGCGCGCCGCTTTTCCGGGCAAGCTTACTGGGCGGCCCGGGGCTGTGTGCTGGTGCTGGTCTCCTCCTGGGGGAGGGGGGCTCTCTTTAATGGCGCCCGGAGCTCACCTCTGAGGCGAATCCTGCAGGGTTCTCCACAGCTCCCGTTCACGGGGTGTGGTGGCTGAAATAGTTCCTTTCCACTCACAGTCCCGCTTGCTGCGTAGTTTGTTTTTGTTGGTCGTTTTAGTTTGTTTTTTTCCTCCTTCCAGTTTGTTGGAGAGTGCCAACTTTGTGGGTGGGGGAGGGGAGCCGGGTTCTGCGCTTTCCTCCCTTCTAGTCCTCTTTTACGGCCACTTTCTTCTTCGGGCAGTTTGCTGGAGTCGTCCGTTTATCTTCCGTGTCCCAGTTCTCACTGGGACCTGCCGCTTTTCCTCCCTATTAACTTTTTTTTTTTTTAATAGAGGCATGTTTTATTTATTTATTTATTTATTTTTCATTTGTTTTTGTTTATACATGCACTGGGTACAGTCAGAAGCGCAGGAGGGTGAGAGAATTCACCAGAGCCAGAGTGGGGAGCAGAGCAGGCAGAAGGACCGAAGTACACTGATGAGGGGAGCAGTGGGCGGCAGGAGAGGTCTGCGCGCCATGTGGGACCCTCCTCTGGTGGCCGGGAGCAGCTGGGAATCGAACCGGTGCTGCAGAGACTGTGGGCAGCTTCGCAACCCAGCGCTCAACCGCTGCGCCACCAGGGAGGCCCTATTAACTTTTTTTTAATGGGAGATCTTACTCGCAGAGTCTCCTCGCCGCCATGTTGCTCCGCCCCTCTCCCTGATTCCTTATTTACTTAAGGCAACTTGCTTAATCTGTCTAAATTTTATTTTCCTCACCTACAAAAGAAGAATTACAACTACCTTACAAAATGTTTTGAATATAAGATAATAAAAGTGATCAGTACAAGTTGTACAAGTCACATTTTTTTTAAAGATTTATTTATTTATTTATACAAGCACTGGGTACAGTCAGAAGCATGGGAGGGTGAGAGAATTCAGCAGAGCCAGAGGGGAGAGCAGAGCAGGCAGATTGACGAAGCACACTGCTGAGGGGAGCAGTGGGCGTGGCAGGAGAGGTCTGTGCGCCATGTGGAATCCTCGCCCTGTGGCGCGGGGTGGAACCGGTGCCGCAGGGGCTGAGGCTAGCTTCGCAACCCAGCACTCAACCGTTGTGCAACCGGGGAGGCCCGACATCTTTCCATTTTTAGGGCAGCATCCAAGTTCCTCAACATGAACGCTAAAGCCCTATGAACTGCCTTCCTTTCCAACCTCATCTTCCTTTTCTTCAGATTTCACAATGTCCCAGTTTCTCTGCTCTTCTATCCTTCAGTCCTCTGAATATGTTATGCTTTCTGATGGACTGCATATGAGCCTTTCCTTGTCCCTGGAATTAAATCTAGTCCTTCATCTCCAGCTCATTTCACCTGCTTATTAGATCACCTTTAGCTGTGTCTAGGAAATTACCATTAAGCCTTATCAGGAGCACCTCCACCTTTTAAGTGTCTTTATACTTTGCTTTGACATATGAGATGCAGTATCTTATTTAATATGTTTGGACAACTTGCGGGTAGAGACCTTGCCTATTTTGGTCTTTACTAGCTTCCTAAGTCACAATATCGCTGGCTATTGAGAAATGCTTGTTGAATTAATAATGTTTTTTACAGGAGCCACAACAGAGGCAAACCAGGGTATAAATCCACAGTGAAGCCCAGCCACCCATCAGGAAATCCATTCTTCTCACCGCATCAATCTCATTCAGGGCCTTCCATTGCTCATAGGGGACACCCAGAGCCTCAGCTGTCTGGATAGTTCTCTTCATGTGGCTTGTCCATACTTTCAGGGAACTGATGCCTTGGGATTGAATGAAGTTGGCCAGGGCATAGGCATACTGGAGAGTGAGGGTTCAGAGGAGAAGAGGAGTAGAGAAAGAGAGATAAAATAAGACATGAAAACAATCTAAGATATGCCATAAATTGTGAAATGGTGATGAACAAGCAAGATCAAGGAGTTTACAGCTACTAAAAAATGTGAAAAATCTGCCTTTTGCAATGACGTGAATGAACTTGAACTGATTATGCTCAGTGAAACAAGTCATAACATGAAAGAAAATTACTGATGGTCTCCCTCACTTGTGGAATATAAATGAACAAAGGAAACAAACTGGCCAAACACTACAAAAATAATTATTAGAATCTATGAAAAGTATGGTGGAGAAGGGGAATGGGAGGAAAGGGTAGAGAAGGTCAATTTGATAATATGATAGCACTAGAATTTTGGTGGTGGGTGAGTGAAGCACATACAGATATGTAAGTGTGACGTTATACCCCCAAGTTACATAGTTTTGTAAACAAATGATGAAGCAGTAAAAGTTTATTTAAAAAAAAAAAAAAGTAAAAACAGAGCAAAGTTTAAATGTTTCAAATTTATAAAAAGTAATTCCCTTGCTCATGTGCTAAGCATTAAGGGAATAGAAAAGGATATTGTGTGTCCATGTGTGTATATGTACATATGTGTGTGTTTGTGCATGTTCATTGATACTTGCTCACAGAACCATTCATTCATAAACAGGCCTACCTCTAACATTTGTGGGACTTGGGATAAAAATGCAAATGGATGCACTCTACCCACAGGCCACATCTCTTCTCCCATTTCCCATTCTGTTCTTCTAGATGCCTTCATTACGTGTTTGTTGATAATCCAGTCAAATGATCAAGTCATCTGCATATTCTATTTCCACCAAGCCTTTTCCTCCACAAACAGCAACCACTTGGTCACCTATTTGTTTAGGAGTGAACATTCCTGTGCTGTGGCTTGCTCTTAGCTAGACAAACCCTGGAAGAGGTTATGTAGGCACTGGAAGCAGAACATGAACTACAAAGGCAGGGAATATCAGGTTATGGGTATTCTGAGTATGATCTAGAAGCAGGGGATGTGGGATTTGGGGAACATTTCTCTGACCCTGTAAAGTCTCATTCCTTGGGTAGGGGTCTTGGTCCCAGATTCTAAGGGCATTCAAACATATACTGCATTCATGCCCTGAGTACTGGATAGCCCATTTTCAAGAAATAGCCTACTATTAATAGTAAAGTGAGGGGGAAATGGCAGCACCAAGAAGAAACATGAGGAGCTGAGGAAGCCTGATGAACAGGTGATTCACTCTTCCATGTAAGAGCATGTTATTAATCACAGCTGGTGTGTGAGGAATCTGCACAAATACAGAGACACAGTCATACATTTTTATCTCAAACATGGACATTGTGTACACACATTCTAATTATGGATTTTGAGTCAGCAGGCAGTGTGCTCTGGTGGAAGGAACCCTTCACTGGGATGTAGGAGTTGGGGGTTAAACTGTCCCAGCTCCTTCATGTGGTCTCCATGTAGCCTGGGACACACCCCTGCCCCTCTCTGGCCTCCTATCTTTGATCTGTGAGATGTGAACAGGATTAGCTCATGCAGCCTGGTCTCTAAGCCTCATGTTCGATAGTGGGCTGGAAGCACTCAGAATGCTCCCTGGCATACAGTGACAGCTACTGCGACTGACTGATGAGGGTGATAATCAATGACAACGTGCTTTGTAAACTGTGCATTGTGCACCATGCCCCTGAGTTTGAAAGCTGAGCTCAGCTGTATGTGTGTGCATGCACATGTTTGTGTGTGAGGGAGGAGTGCTGTGTGGAGATGGCCACCTGTCCATGGTGGACACTGAGCTATGTGGCCAGGGCCATAGATGGGCCAACCAAGAGACCCCTGGCTGCAGGTGATGTCATGAGAAGGGTGAAGCCTTCAGAAGCCTCTGATTCTGCTGAGGATTGAGAGGGGTGGGAGTTGGAGGTCAGAGTCCGCCTTGACGGGAGACTGCCAGTGTGAAGGTAACAGAAAAGGGGCCACGAAGACTGGGAATTCTGGAGCAGTGTCTTGCCTAGGACACCAACCATTCTACAATGCCTGCTGAGGAGCAGGCAGGAAGGCCTGGTTTTCAATCTTGGCTCTATCCTATATGGGCTATGTTACCTGGGCTGTTCTCTGCTCCTGCTTGGATGCGTACGCTGGTAATGGTAATACCCACCCCACACAACTGTTGTGAAAATTAAATGAGACCACACATATGGGAGCAGATGGTGCTGTAACTGTGGAAAGTATTAAATAAGAGGATTCTCCCTCCCTCCTGTACTCCATTTCCAGTTGTCTTACCCCTAAGCCATACTCTGAACAAGAACAGCACCTATGTTAATAAGCCTTGGCAAAGGACCAAATGCTGGGCAGATGTATCCTTTTACTTAGCCAGCACCCATAATGTGTTGGTCATGATGCTCAGCTAGAGGGAAGAGACTCATGCCAGGAGAGTCAGTATGGGGCAGAACTGGGAGAGATGGAGCCCAGGGCACGGTGGCTTTCCTGGGAGAACTTTCTGGACCATACCATGGGGCAGGAACTGGGCCCTGCTGGGAAGGGAGAGCAGGAAAGAAGCAGTTACTGATAGGGGACAAGTGCTAACAGTGTGATGACTTGCAGTGAGGGACGAGGTTGTGGCATTAACCCTGAGTATAGGAGAAGATGGATTCAAGGGTGGGACACTTTAAGGCATTTGTCAAAATGATGGTTACCAGCTGACAGAGGGGACAGAGGAGAGCAGCCTAGGTGGGGAAATCACACAAAGGCACAGAATTGTTAGAAAGATGAGGAGACCAGTGAGTCAGAGGAGTGGGGTGCTCATTGTAATGGGACTAGAGGAGCAGGCAAATGTGGGTCGGCTTCAAATGCCAGGACCAAATTCTAAGACTTGTAGATGATGTCAGCTCATGGGAGTCATTCAAGGATGGGTCATAAGTGAGTGGCTGATGAGACCGAAGAGGAGGAGTGACCAGAAATTATTTTTACACTGTTTCTGAGACCCCATCCTCACCCCAGTTGTCAGGACAAACATCACCCACCCACTGCCCACCTGGCCAGCTTAATCAGTACCTTGGGGTATATGGGGCTCTCCCTACCTGCTTGCCCCGAGCTGAGAGGCCAGAGTCACCTCCAATTCGGCCTCTGAGGTTGAGTTCACTCTCACCATGTCGACATAGGTAGATGGAGCGGGGTGTGACATGGATGTTCATGAGATAGTAGACTGTACGACTCTGAATGTGGTCCTGAACTCGGTTCACCATGTAGCGCGTTCCCACGTCGAAGATCTTGATGTATGACAGTTGGCTGAAGCAGCCCAAACAGGAGCAAGGGCAGCTCAGGGACTGACAGTGGAGAGGCTGATGCCAAAAGAAAGCCCCAACCATACCCTGCCTTCAAGATTCCTTTACAACCCCGCTCTCACCTATGTTTCCTCTAACAAGATGCCATGCTTTGACCTGTTCTGGGTATCTATTCTAGAAACTTGTTTCCTGGCCACCCTGAGGAGCTCATTGCCTGCGACCATTTCCATTTCCTTTTCTTAGTCTCAGCTTGAGTCAGTCTATATTTTTGAGTCTCAGTCTCAGCTTTAGTCAGTCATCACACTCCAGGCATCTGGCATTCTCTCGTCAGTGGTTCACACTTCTGTTATACTCAGAAAGAAACAATAATCCTGTGTCTCAGTCTGCCCCTGACATCTCATTGTCAACTACTGTTTTGTCCACTTTTATAACATTTCCAAAATTGAGTACAGCTCTCCCCCTTTTCTTTGAGTCCCTGCCATTTTTATCATACTTGATACTCCATATGTGCCTCATACAGGTACCTACAGCTTATATAAAAGCTATAGATTGTATCTGTGTGTGTCTCGTTTCTCACTCAGGAAAGGGTAGTTGGTTAGGTTTTCATTCTATCTACCATGCATTCTATGAACACCCCCTCCTCAGTTCCAAGTATCATGCATGGTTCAGGGACTCAGTATCTTCCCCTTGGGAGTTCCTAGGCCAGTCAGGAACATATGCTTGGAAACATGTGGTCAATGCTCAACACCAATCCCATGGTGACTCACTCCAAGGTGTATCAAGTACTGGGGAATAAGGATACAGAAGTAGTCCACAATACTTTGGGGAAGCTTGTGGTCCTTGCTTTGCTATCCCTTGAATTCTGTATTCTTTCATGAAATACTAACTATACTTGGTAATAATCAAACTATTCAGCAACCTGTCTGCAGAGGAGATAGGGATAGGGAACACTGACTAATCAGAAGACTAGAATACATGGATCAAAACTCGTGAGGTCCCTGTTGTGCCAGGAATTAATCCTTTAGTTGTTTGATTATAGTTGGTTCAGGGTGATCCCTGGAAAGAAGTGGGTGTACCTGAGCAGTGAGGTGACATATCAGCAATCCTGTGTGCACAGTAACAAAACCAAGTAAATAGAAATAGCTACGCTAATGCAAGTTGGATAAGGCATTGACTTGACTGATGAAATTGGCCTCAGTCTCTCCTCCAGTCTTCCTAGAGAAGGCCTTTGTAACTGCACTATGCTCATCATGCCAAGCTCTGCCTTCCACATTGAATAGCTGTCATAGGGCACTTGCATTTGCTAAACATATTTGTGTATGTGTATGAATATGACAGGGATTGGGTACTCAAAAGTGCATAAATCTTCATAAATATCCTAGGAAGCAGTTTTATAGGTGAGGAAACTGTGAGACAAGGGAAAAACAGTAATTTGCCTAAGGTTACCCTCTCTAACCATCTCATCTGTAACTCGTGGAGACTATTGGTAGAAAGTATTTCTATAATCTTGTTACCTGGTTACTCTTTGTCCTTGATACTAAGTCCTGGGTTATTCTAGGAGAAATGCAAATTCCTCAGCTTAGTCTGACATTCTAGGTGCCTTCATATACTGCACCCATTTGGCCTCGCCTCACTTGTCCCATGCCATTGCCCATAACTTCTTTGTTTAATTCTAGGCTTTCATACCTTTGTTGAAATATTCTCGGTACTCCTCTACTCTTAATCAGATTTAACTAGTCCATTACAATGTGCCATTCTCTTTGCATGAAAAGATGTTCCTTGCCTGATTTCCATAGTTGAGCTCCTAAACATCTATCATCATTGAAGAGCCAGTATATTCACTCTCTAGAAAGTCTTCTTTTGAGCCTAGGATCATGTGAAATCATTCAGAGGTGCTTTGTTCCGGATGTATTATAGTAGTTAATGACTACTCCCACAATTTTAGTTTAAGATAAAAATTACAAACCATATTATAATATTAGGAAACTCTACGAAGTTCTAGTTTTATTTTTTCCACTTGATACCTTGATGTCTTTTTTTGAAATATAAAATATTAAAAGTTCTAAGATTGTTTTATTCTTAATTTTGGTAGTTTCTATTGTATTAATATCTTAAACATGTCTCTTCTACCTATAGGGTAAACCAACTCTTTCACATTTTTTTCCTCCAATAAAGGTTGGGGTCCCTCCTTTGTGTTCTTCCAGCTAACTTGGTTTATCAAATCCACAGTTCAGATCAACTGGATATTCACTATCTTCCCCAACCAGTGGATATTCTCTCAAAGGTAAGGTACAACCCTACCCTCTTTAGGTTTCTAGGGAACAACTTAGGACTGGACCCTGTTGCATGGGCTATAAATGTATTTTGATGGAAAAATGATTAAGTAAAATCAGCTTCAAGTCAATAATCTTCAGGCCCAGACTGATTCATTGAACACTGAGCATTTGGAGGAGTCTAAGTTGAAAACTAGGTAGAGGCTTTTTCAATAATTCCTTCACTTCAGTTTCTCTCCTTCAAGCTTCATTTACCATATACTTCCAGCCCATATATGGTGACTTTGCAGAAGTTTAAAAAATTTGCTCTTTCCTTAAGACTTAAACAGTTCCACTCTAGCACACAAGTTTTGGTAAGAAAAGCAAGTGCACCTTAATCTGATTGTCCTTGCATATTGAACAATCTTCACAATTGTACATAAATATCCTACCCTTGTACTGTCTAAGCTCCATATGACACTTTTTTTTAAGATTTTTAAAAATTATTTATTTATACAAGCACTAGGTACAGTCAGAAGCTCAGGAAGGTGAGAGAATTCACCAGAGCCAGAGCGGGGAACAGAACAGGCAGACTGATGAAATGCATTGCTGAGGGGAGCAGCGGGCGGCAGGAGAGGTCTGCGCACCATGTGGGACCCTTGCCAGCAGTTGGGGATTGAACCGGAGCTGCAGAGGCTGCAGGCAGCTTCGCAACCCAGTGCTCAACCACTGCACCACCAGGGGAGGCCCATATGACACTTTTTATGATATATGTCATATATTGTGGAGAGGGAAGATCAGACTAGAAGTCTGAAAATAATTGTTTGAGTATATATTCTGCTACTGACTCATTATGTGACCCCAGGTAAGACCACCTCCTGCTCTGTGTCTCAGTTTCCACACCTATAGAATGAGGTAATAACAGTACTCACTTCTGAAGACTTCATCTGGGTAAAGCTGTCTCAGAGTGTTAATCAATATTTGAGAGCACCTTATACCTCTCACTTGGGACCTAAAAGATCTGAGTGACCAAAATTTCCTCTCATCAAAACTCATTTTGAAAGAGAGTAGGGTTGTAGGAGTACCTATATTTAAAACTCACATCTTCCTTGTACTGCCAGCTAATACCTCTCTTATCTTTATCTGGTATTATGAATAAACGTTTCATGTTTTTGTGTTTTCAAGGCATCATGGAAACTACCTAAGGTTATATTTCTTTTTTTATCCATCCTTATTTAATCCCCTATGTATGTCACAGTCCAAAAGGGCTAAATATTCACTGAAGAGGTACATGGCCATTATGAATATAGACATGACCAGGAGACATGTGGTTTAAATGACTTGTGGTACGAGTTTGGGAAAGTGGTTTCATTTTTTTAAGACTCAATTTCCTCTTCCTTTTAACTTCCTTTACAGGGGTTCCAAAGGGGATTCAATGAAACAAAGAGAGTGAATATGTTTAGAAATTAAAGTGTCATCCATGTATGAAGAATAAATTTATTAAAAACATTTTTGAATAAATAATAGCAACAACTTTATGAAAGAAGAATTTGTTTCTAGAGATCAGAACCCTGATCTGTCTATATTTCTCAGGAAACCACGAGTTCACTTCTCTAATGAATACCTTGCATATCGAAAAATATACTATCTCATGGATAATTAGACCTGGGCGGGCCTTTGATGACAAATCACCAAGTCAAACTCTCTAATATTACATATAGATAAATTTATGCCTAGAAAGGAAGGACCAAATTGAGGCCCAAAGAGGAAGGACATTTCCTCAGGTCCTACAGGACATCAAAACAGGTTTAAGGATCCAGACCTGGACTTTGGGGTTCTGGGTTCTTACCTGTCCAGTTCATCATCCAAGGGTTGGTAGTTGACTTCATAGCACTGGATTCTCTTTAGAAAGTCTTCCAGAACTTTTTCCCGGTCGCAGTCTATGTAATCAGGGCTGCCAAGTTTTACTTGCTGGGAGAAGGACATATGAATCATGGGAGGCAGAGATGGCAGTGTCCTTGGGAAGATCCCTTAATGATCTCTGAGTATAACATTCTTCATAATAAAGATGAGGAAATTGAGACGTGGCAAAAAGGTCTTGCCCAAATTTACAAAATCAATTTATGGACTGTGTGACTCCTGATTTATTTGTTCTGTGTGGTGAAACAAGCTCTGCCACACTAGATTCATTTCTAGAACACACATAGCCTAAAAAGAACAGTTATAGGAAGACCAGAAATTGTGAAATTGATTGAAGAGGGGGAATAAGAGATCTTGACTAGTGGTCACCATGGCTTACACATGTTGGGTGCTTACTGGTAGAACATGACATGAATGTTTTAGATTTATGAAGGTCTGACATCTCTTAGTCTCCTGATATCTATCTTTTCCATGACTCCCAATCTCAGTAAATAACACTATCATCCATTCAGTCACCTGAACCTTAAAGAAATCTGGGAAGTATCATACATATGTCTCTTTGTATCATTCCTTACTTCTTAGTAGGTAAGAAATCACTGTAGCTTTATAACTGCTTACTCTGTCCACAGTCTTGTAATTTGTGACATATTTCCAATATAAGCAGCTTGAAAGATATTTCTAACATGCACATTTGACCATGGTATTCCCCTGCTCAAAATTCTTCATCATTTCTTCATATTTTCAGGACAAAATATGAACTTTTAAATGGGTGACTCATGATTTGTCATTATTGGACTCCAAATTATACTTTCATCCTCATCTTCCATTGCTCCTCTATTCCTCCACATACTTTTCTTTGGCCAACTTAAGCTATTTAAGTTCCTGGAGATGTCATACTTAGTATATGCTATTCCCTTATTTTCCATTCTTCACCTGCCAAATTCCTATGTAGGTCAGCTCTTGCCGTTATGGAAAATGATACTCTAATATACTCCTACCCCTCCTGTGCAAGGTTAGGTCTTCAATTCTGTGCTTCTACAGTATCCTTTGTTCTCTCATATCAGTAATTATCTCACTGAGTTATCTCTACAAACCTGTCAAACAGTCTCTCTCATTAGACTGTGATCTCAAAGGCAGGATTCTCATCTATGCATTTCTATCTATCTAATACCCATAGTAGCTCTGTCCATGTGCAAACATTTGATTTCTATTGAATTAATAAATGGATAGCTGGAAGGATGGGTGGGTGAAAAGGAAAGAGAAGGAATAAACATATTCTATGTCCTAAGAGATATACATAAGACCAATAAGTGGAAATTACATTGAGGAAAATCTCAGCTTTGATTGGCTTCTATTTGATAAAGATAATGGGCTTCTTATCAATGAGGGATGAAGAAAAATCCAGACAGACATTTAGCTGAGATTTCAAGTATCTGATGGAGGGTTGAAGGAGATGGCCTTTAAGGACTCTCTGAGCGCTAGTAATTTGATAAAATAAGGAACAATAAAATGTTGCTTGACACACATTAAGGACTGTATATATATTGAGATTATATATATATATATATATATATATGATTTAATTTCACAGGATCATTGTTAATCAGGAGAGTTAGTGTATACTACATATAGCAAGTGTATGTGGGGGGGAAACAATGCCTCTAATCTCATGGAGGTCTTTTAGGCATCATCTTAGCCTGAGGCAAAGTAAATAGGAAAGGTTACAGCTGTAGCTTCTTACCCTGATGTTTTCTGCAATGATGCCAGGGTCATTACAGATGGACTCAATGAAAAAGACCTATAATAGAAAAGAAGATATTTCCAGCAGAATATTATGTTTGATAAGTGTCAAACATTGACTCCTCACTGGCTCTGAGTCATACCCAGAGGCATCTTTGACAATATAATTTCAGAGTGGTGCTTTCAAGATTCCAAGTTTTATGAGGCAGATTGGTTCTAAATTGAATGTCTCCACATTTTTGTTTTTTTGTTTTTATTGGTTTTTTAGTTCTGATTATATTATATTATATTATATTATATTATATTATATTATATTATATTATATTATATTATATTATAGTGGTTCTCTCCCCAGTTTCCTCATTAGTTCTTCAGAAATCACCTCCCATTACCTAATGTGTCACTTCTCTTTTCCTGTTCTGGTTTGCTGCATCTAACTGTGATCTGGAAAGCCACATTACTATATTAAAATTAATTCCCTGGTTTTTACTGAAAAAAATAGGATCTAGGTAAAAGTAGGAGTGTTACTGTACCTTGTAACCATGTTCTTTAGCAAATTGCAGAATCAATGACCGTCTTTCTCTAGTAGTGTTGGTGGCATCAAAAACCTAGAGGCAGATGATATTGGTTTACTGAATCTGGTGCTGATAGAATGACTACTCTTTGAACATACCTGTGCTAAGTGAAGAGCCTCCAGGAGAGTATGAAACTTTAACAGGGTCTTAAAGGGTAAGAATGATTTGAAATTTGTTATGTCAATTACACAAGCACACAAAGAGCCTTTGTTGTCTGCCTCAAAATGTACCAGACTTTGTGGTTAGGCGCAATAAGGAAAAAGAAAAATCATGGATTTTTTTGTGATGGTATCTTTTCTTTCTGTTTTTGTGAGCATTTTTTTTAATTTTATATATTTTTTACATCATTTTTCATTTTTTGCACAATGTATGCATTTTCATGTTGGTTATATTCCCCAAATAATTCCCACCCCCTTATTTTGACCATAACCCTCCTCCCCTCCACCCCCACCCCGTAGTGTGTCTCTGGTTTATAGTTGCTTGTTGATTTTGATTTTTACTTTATTATAATTTGTCTTTTTCCTGGTCCCTTATTAAATTCCTGCTATGTGTGAGACCACCCGGCATTTTTCTTTTTCTTTCTGGCTTATTTCACTGAGCATGATCCCTTCCAGTTCTATCCATGTTGCTGCAAATTGCATGAATTTACCTTTTTGATTGCTGAGTAATATTCCACTGTGTGTATGTACCACATCTTCTTGATCCAGTCATATATTTTTGGGCATTTGGGTTGTATCCATAACCTAGCTATTGTAAATAGTGCTGCTATAAACATAGTGTCATTTTATATGTGATATAACTGAGGTCTAGAGAAGGAATTGCCTTAAACAACGCCTCCAAGAGTTGCTGACAGAACAGAACTAGAACTGATTCTCTCAACCCTTGGTGAGGCTTGACTCTTCCTTATCACTTTGACACATTTTAAGAACAGGAAGCAACTTTTTTCTATCCTTAGCTCTGTAGATGGGATCATTTGCATATTTGAGGATCCCTTCCCCTTGTAGAATTTGCAAGTCCTGTCCCAAGGTTTATGAGATTGAATTTACTAGATAGGTAATCTCAAAAGTTCAAAAATGTCTGTTCTTCAGTTTTAACTTCTAGTGTAGTTAAGACTAACTACACCAAACCAATCATGCATATCCTTGAAGGTGGAGTGGTATAACATAGTGATTAAGTATAGATATGCAATATGCATTCCAGTTTTGGCACTTCTGCATGTATACTGTCCCATCAAAGGAAATTATTTAATCCCTGTGTGTGCCATTCTTCTGGGATATGGAAAGGGGAATAGTAACAAATATTTTATAGAAGGTAAGATTAAATTAAGATATGAAAAGTATTTAGAATATGTGAAATACAGTAAATAGTCAATATATCTTAGCTGTTCTCCATCCCAGGAGACACCCGAACAAAAGTCCAAATTCCTTTACCGCAACATGACCTTCATCATGGCTGAGATAGTGATGGACATCCTTCAGTGCTGCCAGAGCACATTGCCTGAAAAATATGAAAAAAAAAAAAAAAAAAAAACAAGAAACAACTCTTATCTTTGGGATGGATTCTTATCTATTTTTCATTACCCTTTACATCATCTGTAACATATCCTGCAGTATTCATCTATCAAACATCTATGCAGGGTATCTTGTGTTTTAGGTACCATGCTAAACCCATAGGGGTCACATAATTAAAAATGCCTTTGTTTGTACATTTTAGGGGAAGGCATAAGATGCCATAACCAGGTAAAGTTGACTAATCATAGAATCCATAATATTAAGGGTTCCAGCTCTTGAGGCAATGGGACTTAAGCTGAACTGAATTTTTAAGCAAGGTAGAGACTTGGTAATGTATTTATGCTTTTGGTAAAATATTTTTTACTAATAACTTTTTCAGGTTCTATTATAAGGCATGGATTAATATTGATAAATGAGACACAGTATCCTTTGAGGATATGCTCGGTCTTGTAAAGAAAAGAAACCTAGAGGTTGAAGAGGTTAAATGAAGGAGACTTGAGAGATTGGAGTGGGCTAAGCTATTAACTCATGTCTTAAATACAAAGCTGAAAATTTTCCACTCTCCTCCATTATAAGTAGGGGATTGTTGAAAGTTCTTAAACAAGGAATGATTATGAGCCAAAAGATGATTTGAGGAAGGTAGTAGAAAGGCTTTTCTAACCACCTTATGTAAGTCTAGAGATCATCCTCCTAAACCTAAGTTGCTCTGTCCCAGTTTCACATCATCTCAACAAAGGCTCCCTCAGACAGGGAGCACACAGTTCCCTAAAATGTTATGTACTTACTTCCTGATAAGTAGGGCTTCCATGTTGTCTGGGAGAAAGAATTCATAGTTCTTGTAGCTTAATGCCTCTCGCCGATACTGGCCTAAATTAAACACTGAAAGCAGGGAAAACTTGTGAAAAGGTTGGGAAGATCCCAGTGTCAAGAAAATCAATATCCGTGTTGGGAGTGTTCTCAAAAGAAGATATAATTTGTAACTATATAATTTGTTTATAATGCTTCAAAGTATGGCTACCAACTCATTTATTCCTCACAACAACACTGTAAAGTAAGAATCACCATTCCCTTTCTATAAATGAGGAAAATGAATTTCAGAGATAAGATATAATTTTCACAGTTAATAAGTGGGGAGCTCTGTTGACTGCAAAGATGGTAGTCTTTACATTATTCTATTTTATCATAAACTCCAATCTTTTTTTAATTTTTTAATTTTATTTTTTATTTAAATATTTTATTTTATATAATTCTTACATCTTTTTTATCTTTGCACAATGTATGCATTTTCATTTTGGTTATATTCCCCATACAATTGCACCTCCCCCCTTATTTTGTCTCTAGTCCTTCCTTTCCGCGCCTCTCCCTCCCCCCCCATTGTGTCTCTGGTTTATAGTTGCTTGTTGATTTTGATTTTTACTTTGTTTCCAAAGGGCACCTGCTCTCCTATGTTTATAGCAGCACTATTTACAATAGCTGAGTTATGGAAGCAACACAAATGCCCAAAAATAGATGACTGGACCAAAAAGATGTGGTACATATATACAATGGAATATTACTCCACAATCAAAAAAGATAAACACATGCAGTTTGCAGCAACATGGATGGAGCTAGAAGGGATCATGCTCAGCGAAATAAGTCAGAAAGAAAAAGAAAAATACCGGGTGGTCTCACTCATAGCAGGAATTTAGAAAACCTAAATAAGAGACCAGGTAAAAGACTAATCAGCTCCAATACTTTTAATGCCCTACTTCACTGGAAAGATGAAGAAACTTAATTCCAGAGAATAAAATCAATCACCAAGTTTCAAAAAGTGAGTCAATGACTTAAAGAACTACATTTGGGACTCCTGAATCTCACTCCAGTACTATTACATTTTTCTGTGCCATGACAGAGAACTTAAATTTATTTCCCTTTCTAAGGTCATATTTTTTCCTTTCTAAAGGGCAAAAATAAAAAAGAATGAAGGAGAAGAAAAGGGACAATAAGCAAAGGGATAACAGAAAATATTTCATTCAGACATCTAATACTTTCTGATGTCTATTATGTGAAGCAGATTTCTGGGTTCTGAGGTTTCAGAGATGAACCAGATTTGCATGATGGGGTCCTGAAATAACTCACAATCCAGCAGATAAGAAAGAGTAAACCGGTAAAAAAAAAAAAATAGAGAGAGCACCCACCTAATTTGTTAAGTTCTCTGATAGGGTTATGCAAAAGAATGACAGGAAAGAAAAGACTAATTCCAACTGAGATGGTTTCCTGGAAATAAGCAGCATTTGAACCAGACCTTTTAGGATGGCTGGCCTTTTGTAGGCGGACATGGGGAGTGTGAGTAGGGAACAAGGACATTATAGGTAGGAACAGCTTGAGAAAAGTTATGGCATTGGCAGAGGTAGAACATATTTGGGTGATGGGGAATCATCTGCTGTGACTGAGGACCTCTAGGGCAGGCACTGGATGTAGAGGACATTGGGAGAGTGACAGACTAAGAAGCTTGAATTTATACCTTCACAAAGGGACTCTTGGAGGCTATAGATATGGTAAACTTTGCAGTTTGAAACATGACTCTGAGGGTCTTGTTGATAATGGACTAAATAGGGAAGACAGGAAACAGGTGCATTAGGGCACAAACATATATGTCACTCTACCAACTTTACCTATACGCAGCAGAGGCTTCTCAGGGCCTGTAGTCTTCCATAAGAATTATCCCTTCTTTCCAACTCTTCTGCCAAGTCCTACTTCTCCCTCAATAGTCGATCAAATACACTCTGTCTGGAACCTTTTATTTCCTTACAGTTGGCGATTCAGTTTTTCACCTCCAATACCTAGCATAGATTTTGACACATGAGAAACCATTGGGAAACTCTCCACAGGTGAATTAAAGCAAGATAAAGTACATTAAGGGAAAGAAGAAATGGGAGGAAGAGGAGAAGACTTGGAGAAAGGGATGGAATGAGAGAGATAGGGTGTTGTGATGAGCAAGAGAAAGGAGAGAAATAGAATGGAGTAAAGGAGAGTGTAGTTCAAATATGGGCTTCTTTTCTCTTTCCAGCAGTAGTGCCAAGAATTAGACCTAGCTCATTTAGTGTCAGACTTTGGAACCAACTAGACCTGGGTTCATATCTTGGTCTTGTCATGTACTGACAATGCCTTTAGACAAGGCACTCTACCTCTTAGACATTAATTTCATCATCTGTGAAATGGTGATACTACTAGTTTCTGTTTCATGTGTGTTTGGGAACTTAAGAATGGATGTGAATTCTTTTTTTTTTTCTTTATAAATAATAAATTTTATTTTTATATTCCCCATACAATTGCAACCCCCTATTTTGACCCCAATCCCTCCCCTCCTGTCACCCACCCCCCAAAAAGTGTCTCTGGTTCATAATTTTTTGTTTATTTTGATTTTCACTTTCTTATAGTTATTCATTTTCCTGGTCCCTTATTTAAGTTTTCTAGATTCCTGCTATGAGTGAGACCATCCAGTATTTTTCTTTTTCTTTCTGGCTTATTTTGCTGAGCATGATCCCTTCCAGCGCCATCCATGTTGCTGCAAATTGCATGTGTTTATCTTTTTTGAATGCTGAGTAATATTCCATGGTGTATATGTACCACATCTTCTTGATCCAGTCATCTATTTTTGGGCATTTGGGCTGTTTCCAAAGCTTAGCTATTGTAAACAGTGCTGCTATAAACATAGGGGTGCAGGTGTTCTTTGGAATTGATGTTTCTGTGTCCTTTGGGTAAATACCTAGGAGTGGAATTGCTGGATCATATGGAAGCTCTATGTTTAGTAGGTCCAGAAATCTCCACACAGCTCTCCATAGTGGTTGGACCAGTTTGCACTCCTACCAACAATGCAGAAGAGTTCTTTTTTCTCCACACCCTCGCCAACATTTGTTGTTGCTAGTTTTTTTTAATATGTGCCATTCTCACTGGTTTAAGATGGTATCTCATGGTAGTTTTGATTTTGCATTTCCCTGATTACAAGTGATGTTGAACATTTTTTCATATGTCTGTTGGCCATTTGCATTTCCTCTTCAGAGAAGTTTCTTTTTAGCTCTTCTGCCCATTTTTTGACTGGATTATTTTCTTTGTTGTTGAGTCTCATCAGCTCTTTGCAGATTTTTTGTGATCAGTCCTTTATCATTAGTGTTGTGTGCAAAAATGTTCTCCCAGTTGGTGGGGTTTCTCTTGGTTTTTGTTATTGTCTCTTTTGCTGTGCAGAAGCTCTTTAATTTGATGTAGTCCCAGCTGTTTATCTTTGCCTTCACTATCTGGATGTGAATTGCAGGCATCATTGTCTCATTCATTGTCCAACATCCAAGTAGGGCCTTGCACAGCTGTATGCCCCCAAATAATTAATCACTGAGTGAAGAAATGTATGCCTGAGAACTCTTTCCTGCCCTCAGAAGCAGGTCCCCTTGCACAAGAGTTCAAATACTTGCTTAGTGCACTGGTATAGGAGGAGTTTGGCTCTAACAAAGCTTTTAGGAGAAGTTAGTATTTTTCAAAAGTATCAATATAGTCATCAGGGGATAAGTAAAAACTTTTGCTAGATGTTCTTAAATTTATTGTTTTTATTCAGAATTATATATAATGTGGAGACACCTTATCTTTTAGTGTTTAGAAACTCTAAACATCTTAATATAGTCATATTTCAGAGACAGGAGTGAATATGAATTAGTTCCTTTTCCCTAGAGCATCTCCTGGGGAAAAGAATACAGACAGATATTGCAGCAACATAGTATGCAATTAGTTTTAGTATATATTGGGCTGAAGGAAGTGTTGGTGTGGGGGGAGCTCACAGAAGCACAATCCTCCCTGAGAGAAGAAAGAAATCAACTAGCAAGGGGAATTCAGTGTAGGGAATAGAGAAATCTGACAAAGAATGGAAAATAGTCATTGTTGAATAAGGAGTAGTTTGCAGAAAGGAAATGGAAAGTTGGTAGTAGAGAGCTGGCAGGAGTCTAATAGGCAAGGAAAGAGACCCATCTGTTGGTGGCAAGAGGACAGCACACACCACTACTGATCAAAGAGGAAGAGTGAACAGGGTCAGGCCTAAGGAGAGGCTTGGAGAGAGTGGATGCCATCTGGTCTCCAGTGGACAAGGTATGCCATGATGTCAAGCTTTAGAGAAGATCCTGTGGAGGCCTGCAGATGATAGCTTTGATGTGCTTACTGTACAGATTCCTAAGTTTTGAAGAAAACCTTAAGGTTATGAGGAAATTATAACGTTAATAAAATAATAATATTGGTATTGTAATAATACTAATACTAACAAAAACAATATGTTACTTATAGGGTTGTTTTCAGTCTTGCAATAATGGAGTTCCTGAAAATAGACTTTTAATGCTACTTTTAATGCTACTTTGTTTTGCCTAGCACCAAGCATGGGGTTAGGCATAGAGTATGTGCTTAAGATAGTGTTAAATTTAAGAGGATAGTGGTAGTGGTATTAGCAATAGTAGTAGCAATAATCCTAATAAATAATAGTTATATGACATTCCTGATGCAGAGCCCTTTGTCCCTTTGAAGGCTTGCTACCTTTCTGTTCATAGCCAGTGGTCTATAGGGAGCTGCGAGAAAAAAAAAATTGCAAAGACGTACCTTTAGTTGGTGTTCCTATCCAGTTGAGGTATCGTGTGAGCTTAGTGGAAATGTAGGTCTTTCCTCGAGCTGGTAAACCGACCATGATCACAATCGTGGGGGAATTGGTAAACTGGGGTATGGAGGCTGAAAGACAAACGGAAATCAAAAGCTTATCCTCAGGTTCACAGAGTCTTCTGTTATCAGCTCAGTGATGTAGAATTAGATTTCTCCCATCATGATATCAAGAAAACATGTGGAAAACTGCAAATTAATAACTTCTCTTGAGTTCA